AAAGAAGGAAAGAAGGAAAGAAGGAAAGAAGGAAAGAAGGAAAGAAGAAGGAAAATAATACCCTTCTGCACTGGTTTCCTTCCATTTATTCATTCTCCAGACTGAGCACAAAATTCACAATGAAAAGAGCCATTAATTACAAACAAATTTGGTCATCATCTTAGGAACAGGGAACCATAACAGCCCCCCAGAGACTCTTCTAAGTTCCTTTTATATGAACTGAAAGCATATATGCAAGATCAAACACATTCACTGCAGCTAACGAGAACATTATTAGGATGGGAGAGAAGAATCAGGTTGTGGCTCAGCCTTCACCTCTTCAGATGTAAACAAAGATTTCCATTTCTACTCCTAGAATCACAAATACCTCTAAGATCACTTAGTCCAACTGTCAACCCATACTTGTGATCACTCTAGACCATGTCCACAGCACATCTACATGTTTCTACTTCTACTGCTCACATTTTCAGGAGTAAATAGTATGAGCAGCAGGTGAAAATGGAGAGCACACATTTTGTTAATTCAGAGAGTGTAGTGATGTAATCTAGTCATAATATTCTTCCAGCTTTGTTCTGAAACAGCTGCTAGGACTAACAACCTACATTTTAATATTTTAATTTGTGAGGGGAGCTAAGCTTTCTGGCTAATCCGTCTAGAAGGTATAGTGTATCTATACTCATGATAGCATGTATTTTATGTAAAGTCTTATATAACAAAAGAAAAGGCTGTGATCAATGGTTCTTCAAATTTCTAACTAAGACTCAGATGAAACCAACGTAGTTTTGATATTGACCTCTGCTGATCACAGTGCTGTACAGCAATTGAAAACATTCTCAAAAGGAACCACACAGTTCAAGGATTGATTTAAAATGAGATCATGCATCTTTTGCACTTCCATTGACAGTCATGTTACTGAGTACCTAAGACGTTTCTGAAAGCAGTATCTTAAAATAGCTTTATTTTAGAAGAGAACAGGTTGGAAATAAAAAATAGTGGAGGCGTTGAAGAACACATTATGGGAAGAATTACTTAAACAATGATGACTCCTAAAGAATCTATCTTCAGAAGTGTTAGATTTCAAGCTATTTGAGAAGTGCAAACCTAATGCATTCATTATCGTGGCTTTATCAAAGATGAGTGAGAAAGCAGTTTGAAAACAGCAGATTTTGATACCTAATTTTTGATAATGATATTTATAAACAAAGAGATAAAAAGTAATAGTAATATATTTGCTCATTCACTGGCTGTGAACTAACACTAGCACTTTGGCACTGCAGGTTAAGGACTAAAATTTATCTATATTCATATACCTTAGAAAAATTAGACAATAAATTGCCTATCAGCAAAGGAATTAAATGTCACAGATGGAATTTCTCCAAGTTAAATTTGGAGCAATATGAACATTGTTAGTCAAGATTATTTAAATAAATAATATGACCACAGACATAATAAATGACATAGAAACTTAGCATTTTGGAAGCCAGAAACAAAGGTTAATTTTCCAGGAAACAATGAATAGATATCACAAAGTGTTATGCAACATTTTACTGCAGACTTGACTCAGGCATTTATAAAATCAAAATCCCATTTCTCACTGCACTAACTGATACCGCAGGAAATCCTGAAGCTGTTATCTTCAGCCTCAAGGGTACTAGTGAGAGTCAGCACCTTGCTCTGCGTGAGCCTAATAAATACTGTCTAAAGAACAACAGGAGCTTATTATACATTTACAAATTCAGTAAATAGCTTCTGACTGGGAAAGTAGATCCAAAAACATCTTTACTGACCAACCATAATATATATATATATTGCTGATAGCTTTGAAAGAAACATAAATAAGCATACCTACACACATATATGTTTGTATTTCTGTATACATATATTTGTAAAAGAAGGACGAAGCAAAAGCTACAAAGCTTGAAGCTACTAAAGAAAGCCTTTGTAATATAAGAATATCAATGAGAAATGGCTCTTTCCACTAAATTCTTGTTGTGGTCCATTTATATTTCAGTCATTTATGTTGACAAGTCTGCTTAAAAAAAAAAAAAAAAAAAAAAAAAAAAAAAAAAAAAAGCCTTTATAACAAATTAATTGCATTTAAAACATGGTTCCACTGTAGAATCCATTTCCATTTCCATTTATTCTCAGAGATTAAGGTCTAACTTAAAGGCATAAGAAAGATAGGCTGCAGCCAACTTTGCTTGTAGTAAATCCCCAGAAAGTAAGATCTGCTGTTGTCTATGAGATACCAGAAAGTAGTTTCCACTAAAGGGCGTGAAGGAAGAAAATGGCTTCCAGCACTACCCTTTACCTCCACAGAGCACTACGAGCACTAAAGCAGATCTTATCCCCTTCTCCCCAAGGGTCTTTCAACCCTTCTGTTTCCACTACCCTTCCTGCAGCAGAACTTACTTGCTGGCCTTTTCTTCATTTTAAAAATCAAAAACACAAGCAAGCTAAAGATTGCTGGATTGCTATAGTGGAGTTGGTGCTTTATGCCTTTGAACGTCATTAAGGAAGCTGTGGAATCTGGCTCACATCATTCTCATGACTGATTCAAAGCAGGTGCTTAACATCACTTGTCTCCTGTTCCAGGTGAATGCCTCAGCAACTGACCAGTCTAGAAAATGTCACCTTGTTGAAACTGCTTGCAAAGATAAAATAAGCAAGTCAAAGGAAATTAAAAAGAAACATCCCAAGGGGGATCTTATAATGCACTGAAAATTATTTTGCTACTGTAATGAGCACATCTGAGGCCTATATTCTGTAATGCATTGCTAGGTTTTAAACTGAAAAACAAAAGGCATAATTTTACGAAATCCAATTCTTAACACTAACTTTAAGTGATACCTAATCATTGGAAACAGCCTTTTTTCAGTAATTAGTTTTTACTAGTTGTTTACCAGTAAACAGGCAGGAATTTATTAATTAAAAAAATATATATCTGATTTAAAATGGAAATAGCAGAAGTTTGCTGTTTTTGGAAGCAGTAGGCAGATACACAGATGATACATGCACATGCAAAAGGATTTCTTACCTTTTTTTTTTGGTTAATTCTTCCAGAAAATTAAGACAACATATGGTAGTTACAAACTTCATTGCTGCTTCTGAAGTTCTGAAGTATGAACACCAGTATATCGTACAAACTCTCTAGCTATAAGACTGCTTGACTCTGGGTGAATACTAGACTAACACTGCATTTTAGAATGAGGGCTTTTTCCTTGCACTTCTTTATACAATTGCTCTGTGTAGTATTCACCATTTCAGAAGTGCAGCAATGGGTTATTTGTTTGCATGAAGCACAATATGAAATCCTGTTGAATATTTGTGAATAAAGGTATTCCACACAAATTTTAACTTGGCATGTTATTCATTTTAAAAATTATTTTTGGTAGAAAGTGTCATTGCTTAAAACAAAAATGATATAGGAAGCCTCTAGCATCTGTATTGCTGAGTATCTCAGTTTCCAGTTGAGTCAGAAATAGAAATACAGCTGTATCTCAACACTAATGTTCCTTGGGGTAATGCCAACCATGATTTTTTTTCTTAAGTTGTCATAAATACTCACTGTGAGGAGAATGCATAGCCTTACACACGTGCTCCCAAAAACAGCTCAGCAGAAATTAAATTAACCACAGTAAAGCAATTCCTGATAAGGAAATAAAATGGGGGAAAATATATATATATCTTCTCCTAATTTTACTTATGTTCATTTTGGGTCCTTCCCAAAACCTAAATTATACTTACTTGATATAGGAAATTTTCTACTGGCTCAGTCTCTAACTGTAAATTTACAGTCTTGTTTTTCAGCTTTAGTCTATGAATGCTAGCTACTGTCCATCAGCTAATTATCTGAAAATCATTCTTCTTCCTGTGCTGCCTTTTTAACTTGGAAGGATATTCTTTTATACATGTTCCAAACTGCTTCATTATCTTCCATCCTATCCCCTTCATAGAAGAAAAAAGGACTTGTGACCCTGAAAAATACTTCACAACTGTTCTGTAACAATGGGCTTTTAGAGAAGACTTATCAAACTATCTAGAATTGTGAAATTGTTTCTCACTGGTCAGTCATACATGTTTTGACATGTATTTTCATTGTAAGCACGGGAAAAAGGCCTCTTACTTCAGGCACTATACCTGTCCCAAACATTGAACTGTAGGGTTCATTTGTCATGAAAGTGCTATATTAGTTAATAAGATTAGTTTGCTAATGATATGGACTCTGTCCAACATGCAAGATACCATAAAAATGATGATTTGACTAGAATTAACTTCATTCTGTAACTCTCCTATGCATGAAAACATAATCTGCTATTCCCAAAATTTTAGACAAACAAACCTGCTTTGTTTTAAAAATAGAAAGTAGTTAAAGGATTTTATAAGGAACAAACCTACTGTCAAAACTAGACAATTGTCTGGCCTACTATTTGTTTTCCATTTTTGAGTAAAACAATGTCATTGTAGCATTTGCACTTAAGGTAATGGACCAGCAAACATATTTTGCACACCATTTGCATTGTTTAACGTGTTCCCAATGATGTTATTAAATGACTTTCTGTGCGGTACATAGTGGTCAAGATTTCTG